GGTGGGGTAAAGGGGAGGGGAGCCAAGAAAATGCCGTAAATTCATATTGTACCCGGGAGATTTCACTGCATGTTTCTAGCTGTTTAGCATTTAAGTGAAGCACTCAGAAACAGGAGACTTTGATGTGCTAAGGGTACTTTCTGAAATTCTGGGAAGAACTTCAGCATCTCTTTGTAGAAGTTCTTGATGCGAATGGTCCAGGGAGGAACACTAACGTTGGCGGAGCGTTTGTGTGCCAGGAACTCCGCTGGGTACTGTGGGCACATTGTCTATCCATATAGCAATACTTTAAAACTCTATTTGAGATGGTTACACACATGAGGAAAGACAAAGAGTAGAGAAGGAGAGAGAATCTTCCATCTGTTGGTTTACATACCATGTGGTTAGAACTTCTGGGTCTGGGCCAGACTGAAACCAGGAACCAGGAACTTCATCCTGTTCTCCCACAAGGATGGTAGGGGTCCAAGTACTTGGATCATCTTCTGTTGCTTTTCCAGGCACATTAGCAGGAAGCTGGATCAGGCATTGGGGCAGCCAGAGCTCAAACTGGCACCTAGAGGAGAGGCTGGTATTGCAGGTAGCAGCTTAACTTACTGTGCCACAACACAGTTCAAGCAGCTAATAGTTCAAGCAGCTCCAACCAGCTGCAATGGCCAGAACTGCACCAATCCAAAGCCAGGAGCCTGGAGCCTCTTCCATGTCCCCCACGCAGGCGCAGGGTCTCAAGGCTTTGGGCCGTCCTCAACTGCTTTCTCAGGCCACAAGCAGGGAGCTGGATGGGAAGTGGGGTCTCTGGGATTAGAACTGGCACCCATTTGGGATCCTGGAGTGTGCAAGGTGAGGACTTCAGCTGCTCGGCTACTGCGCGGGGCCCACCATTTACTATTTAAAGTGACATTTTGTAAACAGAAATCCATATTTTCAAGTTTGAAGCTTTTAGACTGAGTTGTTAAGGTGTATTTCCTTATGGATTGCTTTTAAAAGTTTGACATTGTTTCTTTTGTAAGAAGTCAAGTTTGTTATGACAGTGGGTATGCTGAAAATCACTATGTCACTATGGTAAACTTACTGTTGAAAATCCTGTAGGAAGAGGGCATCTTGTTAGACAACCACGCGCTAGAACTTCTGCGAGAGCAGCGTAGACTTTCCTCCCTTGCTGGAGCAGATCCGGGTTTCTCCTGTCGGTTTTTGCAGGACGCAGCTGAGCTGTACGCTAAGGCTATCGTGAGTGGTAATTGGAAACTTTAAACATAAGGAATCTCATTCAGCATCCTAGCAGGTTTACAGTGTTAGCACTATTCTGAAGTCTAGATCGGGAGAAGAAATGACAGATCCCTGTCTTGTTTCAGTGCTTCTTGTAACTCAGTAGTTCTCAAAACTTGAGTTACAGTAGAATCACCTGGAAGGCTTGCTAAAGTGGAGGGACTAGGTTTTGCTCCCGATTTTCTGATCTGGTAGGTCTGGGATTCAGTCAGAAGGACTTTAGTTCTAGCATGTTCACAGCTGATGCCATGGTCCAGGTCAGGGGATCTTACCTGGAGCAGCATAGTGCTAATTGAAGGGAAACATGTTGAATCATCTTCCTATCTTATCGTTCATCATCACTTTCTCTTGTTCTGTTTTGTTTTTAGGCTGAGCGGGGGTAGTTGAATTAGTTTAAGGCAAATATAGAAGTTAGAGCACAGCCAACTCCTTATCCTATTGCTTAGCTTAGTCCTTGGCCAGAGCCAGAATTCCGTAGACACCTGTTGAATGATTGCATGATTACATATATATATGAAAGGGGTTCATAGCACATAGGACGTCATTATTACATATTTGTTCCATTTCCTGAAAAGTATACAGTCTTTATTTTTTTAGGTCACCTATGGTGGTGACCATAGCTATCAGGAAATAGACAGTTTGGGACAATATTAAGGTGCTTGCATTTTGGGACCTGTGGTGGGTGAAGTATAAATTCACGTGTGTGTGTGTGTGAGAGAGAATGCATATGGAACTGGGTGCAGGGAGTCCCGTCTGTTCCAAAATGGTCTGGGGATGTCGTGCAGGGTCTGATTTCAGTAAGAACCAAGGCCTGCTGTGTAGACAGCCCAGCAGCTGTGGAAGCAGCCTAAGTCGGCTGCAGACCTGACACTGTGTTTGCCGTCTTGTTAGTTCAGACCCCTGAGGTCCTAGTCGCTCAGTGGGGGCTCTGCATAGTGGGGTAACTTTGTAAATTCAGATAGTATTGCAGATACATCTTACCGTGGTACAGGATGTGCAATCGTATTTTAATGGCAAGTTGGAAAAGTTCAATGCATTAAAAAATTTTCCTAAAATATATTTAAAATTCAACTTCAGCTTAAAATTGTCATTCTTATTTTTTTGACATTTTGTCGGTTTTTGCAAGCTCTCTGTGTCCTGTATGTTGTGTTTTCTCAGTATAGATCAATTTTTCCTGCTTTAATTTACGTTGTTTATGCTGAAGTATTTTCAAGTTAATTATACCATGGTATTCTATTCCTATATCCTTCAAAATATACCTGTAACATATAGAAACAATTTCTCATGTACTCAAAATAATACAGTCACTCCCAAGGAAACTAACAAGCCATTAGTGTCATTTATTCCCTAGTGTGTGTTAAAATTAATCCTAGGTTAACCTAGTTGTTCCTAGGTTGTCATCTGTATGTTGTTTATTCCAACTAGTATTCAGTTCAAGGTTATACATTACATTGTTTAATATGTTGCTTAAAATTTGTGTAACTGAAATCAGTCCTTTTGCTTTGTGAAACTTTTCTGACTTCACATTTGTCATAGCGTTTTTCTTCAGGGTATCTTCCACTTGTTTTTCCATCTTTCACATTTCCTGAAAATAGGAAATAAGGTTTAGAGGCCAGATTAAGACATGAGTTGAGGGCCTGGTGTGGTAGCCTAATGGCTGAAGTCTTCGCCTTGCACATGCTGGAATCCCATATGGGTGCTGGTTCATATCCCTGCTGCCCCACTTCCCATCCAGCTCCCTGCTTATGACCTGAAAAAGCAGTCGAGGACGGCCCAAGGCCTTGGGACCCTGTACCCACGTGGGAGATCCGGAAGAGTCTCCTGGCTTTTGGCTTCGGCACAGCTCAGCTCTGGCTATTGCAGCCACTTGGAGTGTGAACCAGGTGACAGAAGATCTTCCTCTCTGTCTCTCCTCCTCTCTGTTTATCTGACTTTCTGATAATAATAATAATAATAATAATAATAATAATAATAATAAAGACATGAGTTGACTGTTTTTAGCAAGAATACAGCAGAGATGGTATGTGTCTCCTGTTGTACCCCTGAAGTGCGCACAGCCCCTCCCTGTTGGGGAACACTCCATGTGAAGGCTTTGGCAGCCTCAGCCATCCTGTATGCATTTTCCTTTGTGACAATAGAGCATTCTTTAAGGGATGACTTTAATGGGATGTTCATTTTCCTTTTACCCGTTCTCTTTATGCTTTTAATACTTTGCAAAACCATAATGTTTCTATGTCTGTCATTCCTTCTGCATTAGTTGACACTTAGCTAAGCAGACTTACCGATCATCTGTGACTACTTGCCACTGTGAGATAAAATTTCTATTGGAAAGGCTGGTTAACTGTTGAGTTCTTTACTTTCTGACTTCCATTTCAAAGCAAGGAATTGGTGTAATGGACATCTTAATGGTAACAAATGAATTTTTCCTTGCTTTCCTCTTTTGAGTGTTTCTAATGGGTTAATGAATTTTCATTAAATGAATGTTTTAATCAGTTATAATCATTATTCTTTTTGTGTTCAACTTATTAAAATATTAGCCAATGATAGTCCTTGGTAGTTGCCTTCTGTGTCTGCCAAAAATAACTCTTAGTTTTTGAGTGCTTCCTTGCTTCTTATCATTGCAAGATTCGTAGACTTATCTTGTAGCTTCCTTGTCCCAAGTGTCAACCAGTTAACTTCAGTAGACAGTCATTGTTTTCTTTTTCTTTTAATGGAAACTATATTAGACAGCAAACTCTTCATACTTAGAATGCTGTTTTACTGGGCATGGCAATCTTTATAGACATATCCTGTGGTCTGTTTAGTTCTATTTTGATACTGAAAGTTTGCTACATGAAAATTCAGATAGTAAGGGATAGCCATAGTTTAAAAAAAAAAATGATAGAATGGGACCTGGCGCAGTAGTCTAGCAACTAAAGTCCTCACCTTGCATGCGCCCAGATCCCATGCCAGTTCTAATCCTGGGGCCCCACTTCCCATCCAGCTCCCTGCTTGTGGCCTGGGAAAGCAGTCGAGAACAGCCCAAAGCCTTGGGACCCTGCACCCATGTGCGAGACCCAGAAGAGGATCCTGGTTCCTGGCTTCAGATTGACACAGCTCTGGCAATTGTGGCTGCTTGGGGAGTGAATTAACAAATGGACAATCTTCCTCTCTGTCTCTCCTCCTCTCTGTATCTCTCACCTTCCAATAAAAATAAAATCAATCTTAAAAAAAAGGAAAGAAAAAAATGATAGAATGTACTATATAATGAAAAATTGCTGAGAGTAGATTTTAAGTGTTCTAATTATATGATAAGTATATGAGGTAATGTTTATATTAATCATCAGCCATGCACAACACAGATTTCAAAACATGTTTTATACTATAACTACAAATAGGTACAATTTTTAGCAATTGAAATTAGTTTAAAAAACCAATGAGAAAAAATAGCAAGTTCATATTTCTTTTTAAGTTTGTATTCCAATTTTAATATTTTTGTATTTTTAAATAGCTCCCTGATTTTATAATTATATATTTTCTTTTATTCTGAAAATCTACTGGTGACAAACTACTTTATCTTACAATACAAAGAAAATAATTTAAAAATAAGAATACCAATATTGTTCATAATACAGCCAAGTAACCTTTAGTGTTTCTTTTGATGATTTTTGTTGCATAGGCAGATTTTAAAGGAATTAATTACTTTTAGTTTGCGCTCATTTATTTTTTCTTTGAAATCTGTCTTCCTTTTGTTCTAGGTTGACCACTTTGGGTTTACTTTCATGAAAACTTTTAAGCAGCGATACTTAGTAGCTGACAAACACTGGAGGCGAGATGGTGGAGTGATACTCTTTTACACTGGTAATGAAGGTGACATCGTCTGGTTTTGCAATAATACGGTATGTGCAGATTTGTGACATTCCAGGACTCAAGCAATTTGCCTTTTATAATGATAAACTGTAATAAAATGTTTTGTGGTATCTAATCAAGCATTACCGTTTTAAATTGTAAAGTTTGTTTTAAAAATAACAAAAATATAGATTTGCAAATAATAGAAAAACAGCAAAAGTACATGAAAGGAAAGTTAACAAAAGGATGAATGCAGGTAATAATAAGTTTGTATATTCAGCGCTAAAGGATTATAAATGAAAGAATGAAATACTGTTTTTTGCAGATTGAATTAAAACATTTAATCTTAGACTATTTTTGAGTGAGCAAGAACAGGTGACGCAGTGGACATAAGAATGATATTGTGGATGTTTGTTTTGATGAGTGATGTTTTGAAATACAAAAGAGGAATTTTTATGTTTGTTCCATATTGTATTCTTAGAGCCCAAGACAATAGTAGATGTTATGTAAGTTTCAGTAAAGACTTACTAAGTGAGTAAATGAAAGAAACCTAAAGAAAACCAACTTGAATAGGAAAAAATATAGATTTAACTCTCAGGATGGGCAAAAAAAAAGTTGTAGCTGTGTTTTGGTTTGTTTTTCCTTTTTTTTTTTTTTTGTGAGGCTTACAAATAGTGCAGCTTACCTATGCATTTTCTTTCCCCTTTTATAATAATAATATTAAAATCTACTAGAATCAGATGGACATATGAAAAGAAAAGTTCTCTTCGGGATATCAATGTGGTGACTAATAAGCATCAACTCTCTCTCAGAAAGCTAGCCAGTGAATTACCTGAGAGTGGGGACTGAATCATACTGTCTCCAGCACTGCTGTCCAGCTCAGTGCCTTGCGTTCAGGACAGCTCAGTAAATGTTGAGCTTTACTGATTCGAAAGTAAAAATATGAGTCCAGTTTTGTTATCGCATTCTTCACCTCTGATGTTCTGAAATGTTAAGAGTCTGCCTATGATGGTTGAAGACAAGATAATTCCCTGAGAAAAGAGGTGCTAGAGATCAATGCCGTATGAGAGCAGGACTTCCTTGCCCTCACTTCCTGGGCTGTTACTCTGTGAAATGAAAGAAGGTGCCTTGTCAGTTCTCTCTTCCCTGTGTGACTGCCCTTCTGTGTCAGAGTCAGGGATGACTTCTGCCTGTGGCTTGCCCAGCTCCTGTTCTTGATTATGGGCAGGAAGGAGGGAGGGTCTGTCTCCACTAGGTCCCACTCCTCTGATGGGCAACATGTTAGGATTCAAGACTTGTGTGAAGAGTCAGTTATAGGGAATTGGATATGGTGGTGGATGGTCCTTGCCCTTGGACACTGAAAGCAGGTGGGGAGAGATGCACATGTGGGCAGATGTTGCAGTATTGTAGTAATAGAGACCTATGCTTTGCACGGTGATACTCAGGAGGGAGTGATCAGCCCTGCCGGGTGGGACAGGCAGAGGGAGGGCACACTGAACTGGGTGCTGCAGGGTTTGTGGATAACGTCAGGGCACCAATAGGTGCCTAACAGGGAAAGTAGGGGTTACTGAAAGCATTGTGGATGTCAGGTTAGGTTCCCTATCTTCACATGTATGTACCTGTTCTAATTGCTCACTTAAATGTGAACGAGCAAAAGCATTTTGCGGTTCATATCGTTAGGGCATGTTAACTCATTGAAAAACAGCAGTGTGAGAGTGACAAGTTGTTTTCTCCAGCGGTAAATATAAATCTAAAGGACTTATGGCAGCTGCCTAAGAATTCTGCCACCACAATTGAAGTTAGTACAAGAAAAAAGAATGCTGAACTAGCCATAGGTGTTGTAGCAAGGTCTTTTAGCACTCAGTAACTGCCATGAAGCTGCTCAGCTTGTTTGAGTCTCGGCTCTGCTACTTACTCGCTGTGTAAATGCTGAAGATTATTTAAGTTCTTGGGCCTCAGTGTCCTTATCTCCATGTGCCTATTTCTTTGCTTGTTTGAAGTTTTAATTAATTGAATCAACATATATGATGTGTTTTAAAATAGTGCTTGATACATTATAAGCACTCTGTTAACATTAGGGATTGTTACCTACTGTTCATTTATTACAAAGGTTTATAATCATGAGAAGTATATTTAGCATATTTATTAGTACTATTTTCTTGAATGTCTCTGAGTGGAAAGTTAATGTAGACATCTTTGGCCTTTTTTGAGAATATTTAGCTTGCCATGGAATTTGATGATTAAAAAAATATTTTTCACATATTTGATAGTTACAGAAAGAGAGATATTCCATCCACTTGTTTGTGTTTCAAATGGCTATAGTAGACAGGGCAGGGCCAGGCTAAAGCCAGGAGCCTGTGTCTCCTGAGTGGGTCTCCTGAGTGGGTCTCCCGTGTGGGTCTCCTGCATGGATCTCCTGCATGGGTCTTCTGTGTGGGTCTCAGGGGCTTCAAGCACTGGACCGTTTGTGGCTGCTTTTCCTGATGCATTAGCAGGGAGCTGGGTTGGAGACAGAGCAGCCAGGACTTAAAGTCACGCTCACCTTGATGTCAGGATTGCAGGCAGCAACTTCCACTGAAGACTGTTTTGTGATCATATTGATGTTAGGGCTAGATTGTGAGGATAAGAAGTGTTGGGATGACCATAGACAAACAACTTAGGTTTATTTTTAATTTTTCACTCTGAATCAGAATGAGAGTGATATTCAGCACTGAAGCAGCAGTTATACCACTTATCTTACAACAGAGAACATGTAATTTTTCAGAGAGCTCTTTTCAATTTAATTTCTGTTTCATTTTCATGTGGTTTGCTGAAGGTCCAGAGTTGGAATAGTAATTTTAACTGTGAGTTTGTGGACTCTTCCTAGGGGTTCATGTGGGATGTGGCTGAGGAGCTGAAAGCTATGTTGGTATTTGCTGAGCATCGCTACTATGGGGAATCCCTACCCTTTGGTGCCAACTCCTTCAAGGTAAGTATACTTTTTATTCTTGGATGTCACAGTGTTTTCTTCTTCTTTTGAAGCTTAGAACATTTTGTAATTGTATAACCCTCTGAGAAACAGCTTTAACTTGCTTGAAATCTGAATAATTTGTACTTTTTATATATAGTTTGAAAATGTTGAGACTTTTAAAAAGGATTTATTTGATTTATTTGAAAGGCGGCATAGCAGAGAAAGGAAGGAAGGGTAGTAGAGAAGAGAGGGAGATTGAGAGAGAGACTGAGAGAGAGATCTCTCTTGGGTCATTCCCTAATGAGAGAGAGATGTTTCATCCCTTGGGTTATTCCCCTAGCAGCTCCCTGCGAAGGTGCCTGCCAAACAACAGAAGGCAGTCCTTGGGCCCCTCCCACACTCATGGGAGACCTGAATGGAGTTCCAGGATGCTGGTTTTGGCCTGACTCCTCCTCTGGTTGATGCCATCATTTGGGGAATAAACCAGCAGATGGACGATCTCTCTATGTCTAATTGTTCTATTCCAATGAACAATTGGTAGATCTTTCTGTAACTCTGCCTTTTAATAAGAAAGTAAATACATACATCTTGAAGAGTATTTGTATGCAGCTTAATATTATTGTTTTGTATTCCACCAGCACACACATACCATGCTTTTGGAGAACTCTCAATAAGAAAAATAAATTTGGTAATTTTCCAGGCTGCTATTTTTTTTTTCTTAAAGATTTATTTATGTTGGTTGAAAGTGAGACTTACACAGAAAGAGGGAGAGACAGAGAGACCTTCCATCTGCTGATTCACATGCCAAGTGACTGCAATGTCCAGTGCTGGGCTGATCTAGGAGCTTCTTCTGATTCTCTCCCACATGGGTACAGGGGCCCAAGGACTTGGGCCATCCTCCACTGCTTTCCCAGGCCATTGGCTGGATTAGAAGCAGGGCAGCTAGAGCTTGAACAGGTGTCTGTCTGGGATGCTGTCACCATAGGCAGAGAATTAGCATGCCACACTAGATGTCAGCCCCAGGCTGTTGCTTTGAAATGTGCTTTAATTTTTATTCTGATGTCTCATAAATTTTAAGAATGTCCTTGTATTGCAAATGGAAAACAGAAAAATTTGCAGGTATCTGTTGGGCTGTATGGGAAGCTCTCTTGTTTTTTGTATAAATATCTGGTTCAGGGAGTTGATGGGTCCTGGGAAGCCACCAGCTTGTTTCAGGTAGGAACATAGCCCTCGGGCCTGGTGAGATGGCTCAGCAGCTAAATCCTCAGCTTGCACACACTGGGATTCCATGTGAGTGCCAGTTCATGTCCTAGCTACTCCACTTCCCTTCTAGCTCATTGTTAATGGCCTGGGAAAGCGGTAGAGGATGGTCCAAACACTTGGGAGCTTGCACCCACGTGGGAGACCTGCAAGAGGCTCTAGGCTTCTGGCTTTGGATCTGCTCAGCTCCAGCTGTTTTGGCTATTTGGGGAATGAACCAGTGGATGGAAGATCTTTCTGTCTCTCTGTCTCTTTGCAATAAAAATAAAATAAGTAGATCTTTAATAATAATAATAGGAATAGTAATAATAAAGAACAGAGCCCTCTACAGAGTCCCTGGGATTGATCCTTTTGTAGCAGAATAAAGCTGAGGGCTCTTTTTGATATGTTTCTTTCTCTTCATTTGTTTGCAGAATTGTCAATAGCATGAGGGGTATTATAGATATTATGCAAAGATTAGGAAAAACTTTGTAATGAACTGTCCATCATGCCATAAAAATTGAAAATAAAAAATAGTGACAGTATGAGACTAGGTTGGAAGTCAGAAAACATGCATCTTGGAGGGGGTGGTGGCTGAAGGAGTAGGTAATGTCCATTTGAAAGAGGAAAGAGGGAACCTGTGATGTAGTTATGTGGCTGAAGGAGTCAGAGTGGTGAGAGGCAAACAAGGTTCAAAAAGATGGCCTGCCAGAGATATGGCTGCCTTAGTTACTTATTGGTGTGTAACAAATGATCTCAAAGCTTACTAGCTTAAAACTGCACCAAGTATTTATTGAATCAGTCTTTTGGTGGAGAAGTGAGAAATTAGGAATGGTGTGGCTGAATGAATGCTTCTGTTTCGGTGGATCTCATGAGAGTGTCCGTTGGTACTACCGTCATCTGAAGACTTGGCTGTGGCTGGAAGACCCTTTCCCTGCACCCGGAGGATCCCTTGCTAATGATGATGAGCTGGGGCTAGGTGTTGGTGAAGAGGCTTCACTTGCCTCCTGGGCTTCTTGAAGGGCCTATTATGTGGGTTCATGACATGGCAGCTGACTTCCCTCAAGGTTGGCAGTCCTGGGGAGCAAGATGGAAGCTGCAGAGCCTCCTTAGGACTAACCTTGGTAGTTACAGTTCTTCACTTTTGCCACAGTCTGTGCTTTAGAATTAATCACTAGCTCTGGTTGAAGTCCCAGGGAGCAGAATTAGCTTTCACCTTTAAAAGAAAGGCATCAACAATTGCAGGTGTATTTTAGCAATACTTGGCTAGCTGTCTCAGGTGAGCAGGGCTCTCATTGAGCTTTCCCTTCTTACACTGCAGTAGGGAAGCTCTGCAGGCAGCAAATTAGACCATTATGGAACTCAGTTTTTGAATTTTCCTTGTCAGGGTTCAGTGTCTTTTATTACCTCTTTTCCATGAAGTGCTTGAAAATATTTTCCCCCAATTATCATAGTATGTTTCAGTTGTTGAAAAGGCTAACACAATATTTAATTTTTGTGGTGAGAAAGGATGCATTTTATTTTTACTGATGAGCTTTATCTTATCTATGCACTGAATCTAATTTATCTTTGCCTACATGACAGACGTTTTACACGTGATTTTAGCCAAAAGATCAAGAACCTATATGGTAGCCGTTTTAAATGTGACAAGTTTTGAAATAAAAGTTGTAACAGTTACCTGTGAGGTTCCATTTTATACTCTGTCATGTTTGCTATTACATGTTATCTGACTTGTGTTTCTGTTAGTTCTACAACCTCAACATGGCCCATAGTAAAAATTATTTTTAAAAAGTCACATTTGAATGCAGAACATATACTGTTCTTCCACAAACTTAAAATAATTTTTGGTAAGTTATATGTACCAACACAGAAATTATTTAGAGCGTTTTAGCTCAGTTGCCAGAAATCCTGTTTGCAGAACAGCCTAGCTGACAGTGAGTCTTTTCTCGATCTGTGCTATGCCTGTGTTGCCATTTTGTGCATATTTTTACTCAGGTTCTTTGTTATTTTCTTTAGGATTCCAGATACTTGAATTTTCTAACATCAGAACAAGCTCTGGCTGATTTTGCAGAGTTAATCAAACACTTGAAAACAACAATACCGGGAGCTGAAAATCAACCTGTCATTGCCATTGGGGGCTCTTATGGTGGCATGCTTGCAGCCTGGTTCAGAATGAAATACCCTCATATGGTAGTTGGGTGAGTGCATTTATGTTGAATTGCATGCATCTTAGTGACTGAGGTTTGTTTCTGAGAAACAAACTTAGAGGTTTGTTTCACTCCTGTTTATTGTACTGAGATTGCTAGGTTTGTTTCACTCCTGTTTATTGTACTGAGATTGCTAGTTCCTGTCCCATTAACAGCTGTGTTAAAACTAGAATTAGGGCCTGGCACAGTGGCCTAGTGACTAAAATACTCGCCTTGAACATGCCGGGATGCCATATGGGCTCCAGTTCTAATCCCAGCAGCCCTGCTTCCCATCCAGCTCCCTGTTTGTGGCCTGGGAAAGCACTTGGGCCCCTGCACCCATGTGGGAGACCCGGAAGAGGATCCAGGCCTCTGGCTTTGCATTGGTTCAGCTCCGACCCGTGAGGCCACTTGGGGAGTGATTTAACGAATGGGAGATCTTCCTCTCTGTCTCTCCTCCTCTCTATATATCTGACTTTTCAATTAAAAAAAATAAATAAATCTTTAAAAACAAACAAAAAACTGGAATTAGATGAGTTATATGTTTTTATTTCTTATTTTCTCTACTGTCTAGAGCTCTTGCAGCTTCTGCCCCTATCTGGCAGTTTGAGGATTTGGTGCCTTGTGGGGAATTTATGAAGATCGTAACTACAGATTTTCGGAAAAGTAACCCAGGTTGTCCAGAGAGCATCCGCAGGTCTTGGGGTATCATTGATCGCATCTCAAACACAAGTAAGCTTTAATTAAGAAAATGGAATTGTGGGGGAAATCCAAGCACCTATAAAACTGTATCACATAATACAATGTTATTAACAATAATTAAAAAAAAAGAAAGAAAATGGGATTGTGTGAATTCTGACCTTTCATTTTAGGTGTAAAAATTGATACACTTATATTTTACAGGTTAGCTTATGCAGAAAAGCACATAAATCATAAAAGCTTGGTGCATTTTCAAAGTGAGTGCCAAGTGAGATCCACATCAGTACCATCAGCGTTCTGTCGCTACACCTCCCCAGCTAACCACTAACCTTAATTCTAGAACAAGAGATTGATTTTGCTTGTTTTGAATGTTTCAGTAGCTGAAATTGCATAAAATATGTTTTCTAGCTTTCGCTTTACGTTGTTAGATGCATCATTTCTTTTGTTTAGCTGTTGTTTATGCATTCTCATTCTGTAGTGTTCTCATTTATTCATTTCACTAGTGTTTAAAACAGAGGAAATTCCAGAGTACTAATCTTGATATGCTCAATGAAGAAAGGCAACGTGTCTATCATGGGATTATCCATTTGCTCCGAAAATATATTATTGAATGTTGTAAATACATTCTTGGAGGAGTGGTATAGAAAATTGAGTTTTCTGTAATGCTAAGTAAGCAATAAATATCTGTAAAAACCTTCTTTAGACTAACAACTTCTATATGTTAATGATGTGATTCTGTCCCCAGGCCATGGATTGCAGTGGCTTACCGAAACCCTTCACTTATGTGGTCCATTAACTTATCAAGACATCCCACATTTGAAAGAATGGATTTCTGAATCCTGGGTGAATCTGGCAATGGTGGATTATCCTTATGCATCTGACTTTTTACAGCCTTTGCCTGCATGGCCCATCCAGGTAACAGGAAAATGTTATCTCATCATTTTAAATAACACACTTCTGTTATTTTTGTAGCATTCTCTGACTTCCAGCATCAAGAGAAAACCCCAGATATACAGGGGAAATCTATGGAATTAACCCTGCAGCCCTGGGTTCTGCTGCTTTCTGGTCGTTTGACCTTGGACATGTTATCTAACTTTTCCATATGTGTGTGAGTGTGTGTGTGTGTAGTCTAGATCTTTGAACAGCCATTGTCCTGGTCCTATGATGCAATCAGATGCTAAGGCATTCTAAATGCTGTATAGAAGTTGAAGGAATGCTCACTGTGCACCATGGCAGGGCGGAAAGAGCACCAACTTGGATCCTGAGGGTGAAGATTTGGGTTTAGAGCTTCTTCCCAGTTGTGTAGTAGCCTTGGACAAAGTGTTCTTCCTTGAGCTTCCATGCCTTCTGCTCTAGAACAAGGAGTAGTAATACATACGTATCAGATGAGATCAAATAAAGCACTGGATGTGAAAATACTGCTGAAAGTGCAAGGATAAGTTGCTCTACACCATAATTTTTAAAGTTCTTCTCATGTCAAAATTCTTTGCTGTGTATGCTGTCTTTTAAGCATTGCTTTGTAAAGAATTTTCCTGTTGGGCCTGGTGCAGAAGCCTAGTGGCTAAAGTTCTTGCCTTGCACACACCATGATCCCATATGGGCACTGGTTCTAATCCTGGTGACCCTACTTCCCATCCAGCTCCCTGCTTGTGGCCTGGGAAAGCAGTCGAGAACAGCCCAAAGCCTTGGGACCCTGCACCCGTGTGGGAGACCTGGAAGAGGATCCTGTCTCCTAGCTTTGGATCATCTCAGCTCTGGCTGTTGTGGCTGTTTGGAGAGTGAATCAGTGGTTGGAAGATCTTCTTCTCTGTCTCCTCCTCTCTGTATATCTTACTGTGCCCCCCACCACTACCAAAAAAAAAAAAGAATTTTCCTTTTAGTTTTAAAAGCGAAAGTTGGCCAACTTGATGGTTAGGTTAACACTAAAATGAATTCTCTAGTTAGAATAGGTACTGAACATGATTAAATGGACATTTTGCTTAAGACGAGTAATTAGGGGCCAGCATCATGGCATAGCCAGTTAAGCTGCTGCTCCTATGTGTGCCTATTCATGTCCTGTCTGCTCCACTTCTAATTCTGCTCCCTGCTAATGGCCTGGGAAAACGGTGAATGATGTCTCAAGTCCTCGGGCCACTGTAGCCAAGTGGCAGATCTGGAAGAAGCTTCTGGCTTTGGCTACAGATCAACTCAGCTCCGGCCATTGCAGCCTCTTGGGGAATGAAGCAGCAGATGAAAGACCTCGGTCTCTCCTTCTCCATGTGAATCTGCCTTCCACTTAAAATTAATAAATATTTTTTAAAAGCCTTAGTAACAAAATTAGAGCAAATATATTTTCCACTAGAGTTATTTGTCTTCATGTAAAGATAGAATGACCAGTGACAGTCTTGCACTTAGGATGTCAGTAAGCGTGCATTGATTTAACTTGGACTTTTGACAACACAGAGTTCTTAAAAAGAGTATGTCTCTCATAATAAAATGTGAATCAAAATGTCATCAGTCCCCTGTAGGCTCTGCCTCTATGGATTCAGTTAGTCGGGGGTCAAAAAATATTTGAGAAAAAAAAAAGAATCTATGCTAAACATACAGACTTCTCTTGTTTCTTGTTTAAGCAATATAGCGTAGCAGTTATTTACATAGTATGTATGTAAATTTACATAGTATGTATGTCAATTTCCATAGTATGTAAATTAGATGTTATAAAGTATTCTGGAGACTAAATTATGTGAAGGATGTATGCTGAAGTATGTACAGGATGTATACCAAGGGCAAGCTGTTTTATTTTTTTTAAGATTTATTTTATTTATTTATTTTGTATTGGAAAGGCGGATATACAGAGAGGAGAGACAGAGAGGAAGATCTTCTGTCCGATGAGTCACTTCCCAAGTGAGTGCAACAGCCGATGCTATGCCGATCCTAAGCCAGGAGAGCCTCTTCCTGGTCTCCCATGTGGGTGCAGGGTCCCAAAGCTTTGGGCGTTCTTGACTGATTTCCCAGGCCACAGGCAGGGAGCTGGAAGGGAAGCGGGGCTGCCGAGATAGAACCGGTGTCCATATGGGATCCGGGGCGTGCAAGGCGAGGACTTTAACCACTGCGCCACCACTCCGGGCACGGGCAAGCTGTTTTATATAAGAAATTTGAGCATCCTTGAATGTTGATATCCATCCAGTTATCCTCAGATCCTGAGGGACAAGTATAATAAGGAAAAAGTTAAATGTGAACAAGTCTCCATAAATGTCTGTGTGCTAATACTTCCTTGTTCTTTGGTATTTTTTACTATTTACTAAGTACTCTCTTTTTAATGATTTATTTATTTTTATTGGAAAAACAGAGTCACAGAGGGAGATGGAAAGGCACAGAGAGGTCTTTCATCAGCCAAAGCCGGGCTTTGAAGCCAGGAGCCAGGAATTTCTTCCAGGTCTCCCACATGGGCGAAGGGGCCCAAGGACTTGGGCGAGCCTCCACTGCTTTCCCATAGCACAGACAGGGGGCTGGATCAGGAGTGGAGCCAGCAGGGCTTGGATCAGCTCCCATGGGGATGCTGGTGTAGCATACTACACCGCTGTGTTGGCCCCTATGAAGTACTCTCCAATGTGTGATCTCATTTGATCCTCAGAAAAGCACTTTGGGAAAATATGGTATAATGCCAAGTATATGCAGGAGGATGTAAAGCTCAGCTAAGAAGTGGTGGAAGTGGGATTTGGACTTGGGTGTACCCTTCTTCAGAGCCTGTGAGCTGCCACATTGTAGCGGGTTAGGACACTGGTTTGAATATTTGAGTGGATCACTGCTCAGTGCAACAACTATCCAAAAACAAAAAAGCTGATGGTTTTAACTCTGTCCAAAGTGAGATTACATTTGCATCTTTGTTCCCACTTGAAGAACAGATGAGTTGTCAGATGATAAAAACATATGGGGAATTCCCTCATTATTTAGAACAGAGATTGGCAAATGATACATGTAAAGGGCTGTGTTTTAGGTTTAGTAGGCCATATGGTCTCTGTCACAATTGTTCAGCTATGCAGCTGCAGTGTGAAAATAATCATAGATAATACATAAACAAATGAGCATATTTGTGTACAATAACACCTTATTTATAAAAACAGGTAGACAGTGGGCTGCGTTTGGCTGGAGGGCTATAGTTTGATGACTGAGAAAATGAACCACAGAAATTCAGCTTTTTGATCCACCAAAATTTGGAACAATGAGAAGGACAGCTGACTTTGATTTGCTCCCCACTTCTTTAATATTCCTTATGAGATATTTGCTGTTGAGTCTTCCATGTAAATAAAAAATTTTTTTTGTTCTGCTAAACATTTGGAGCCAGTATTCAGATAATGTGTTCTCTGTTTTTGAATCAGCACAATTTTTCTTTTAGTCTTTATGCATATATATTTATATAATATTAGTTTATTTTTCAGGGAAGATAGCTACCTCTTTCTCCTACCGTTTCAGTCTTTTGCCCAGAATTAGTTCTTGTTGTACATTTTTCAGCTATTTATTACCAAAGTTCTCCTTTCTCATGACAAAAGTATATTATGGAGTTCTTGTATATGTGTAATGTATCTGTGATCCTGTTTCCTGCTTTCACTCAATCAAAAATTGTTGTCTCTTGTCCCTTCAGTGAGGAACTTCCTTTGCTTCTATTCCCCATTTTGTCCCATCTGATTTTCAGAATTTTTCTACTACGTGTTTCCCTCCCAAACTTTTAGCTTTGGATCACTTTCTTTCACTGTTCTTTCTTTCTGAGTCTCCTTTCTTGACCCCTCTCTGTTCTCCCAACCCCCTAATCCCTAGAACACTACCCAGTTGGGGACCGCTCTTTCACTTGGATACTTCCATTTACCCAAAATTCCTCCTCCCTCTGATACACTTCCTCCTTTTTAAAGGGCTGACAAACAGCCGTCCTTTGCTGCGTCCCTAACTCAGGCTTACAATGGAAAGATAATATGTAACAGTTGAGTTATGAAGAAAAGCAGGTGATTTCCAATTCTGCCTGGATCTTGTACAGTTCTGAAGGATCCATGGGTAGCGACTAAATGCCATTTTCCGTGTCTATTCAAGTATCATTCTTTTTAATTTGTCTTTGGGCTTTGCACCCTCAGACTCCATTTGCTTTTGTTTACTGTTAACAGAGGCTGCAACATTCATGCAGAAATAATCATGGACTTGGCTGGTAAAATATAAGGAAGGGAAGAAAAGAGAAAGCGAACTCGTCATTTGACTGTCCCAGCTACATTTCTTTCAGCTTAAAGAACAGTTGTAAAAGATACTGTAGTTTGTTAAGTTTGCGGTCATTATTTTTAGTTGAGCATCCATCAAATTTTTTAGTTTAGCCTTCTGAGCATGTGGACAGTTTAGAGTGAAATAGTAAGACATAAGTTGGAAAAGCTCTTCCGTTTGTCTTGGTGTTTAATAATGTATGCGACCTCTCTGGGTGGTTTAAGCGGTTTAGGTGCATTCTATGAAAGGGAGCTTTTACTGACAAAACTAATGTGATTATCTGAGTGAGTGTGAGAGGGGTATTGAAGTCTTAGAGAAAGAGAATCTGTTAGAAAAGCTGAATGTATCTGCTTAATCCTTTCTCTAATGTGGATGGACTATGCTCTCTGAAAGGAGATTGATCTTTTTTTTTAACCTATCTTTTTAAAAACTTTTTTTCTTGCCTCCCACTTTTCTTTCTTTTATTCAAATGCTTATCTTCATAGGTTGGGACACTTAAAACTTTCAAACAAATCATTGTCTTTAGTTTTTTATATATATATATATGTATATATATATATATATATATATATATGTTGGGGTCAGAGGGCAGAGCCTAAATATTTGGGTGTAGATCTGATGAGATTGTTACTGAAGTTGGCTGAATGTTGCACTGTCTCCACTGTTTCAATACCCTTTAAACAAGAATTATTGAA